CTTTATTCCTTTGAGTTTTTCTTTGTTTTATGCTCTTTTATTATTATTCAACTTTCTAATGTTTCAGGTAGTTCAGGGTTGTAAGGTTGGTGGGGAAAATTTGAACTCACTTGTGTGTTTCTTAGCGATCTGTTTGCACATGGTTCAGAACTCCCTGTTGCTTTTCTTTAATATCATGCCAGTGGCTGGAAGGCATGCATGTGGGCTGATGGTGGAGTTCTTCTGAGTTCTGCCAGGGGATTGTCTCGGCTTAGCTTCCCAGGGATAGTGGTTGTTCTTTGTGCTTCCTCTGCTCCCAGACATGGAGGGTAAAAGATGTACTAGGGATGCAATTGATGTTTTCAAAGGCAGAGAGAGAGTGTAAAACCCATGAACCAGAAATTATATAAAGATAATAAGCAGTCAAGAGAGAGAGACAGACATACAGAGAGAGAGAGAGAGAGAGAGAGAGAGAGAGAGAGAGAGAGAGAGAGAGAGAGAGAGAGAGCTGTGGCATTATGATGATGGCTATTAGTCTGGGGAGTTTGCTACTTCTAATTGGTCCCTTGGTTATGTTTCTAAACTTTCCCAAAAGTCACTTTCCTTATCTATGAACCAGCTAATAGCCATACCTGCCCCCTGAAGTCTATAGGGCATAAGTCACTGAGAGAGCTCAGGCTAGTGCTGAGCGCACTGTGAGAAGACTACAGAAGGTCATTTTTGCTTAGGTCCCTGCCATCATTACTTACTGAGAACGAGAGCGCTACAGAGAGCACATGCTATGGCCCCTTGGAGAAGACAGCTCCCCCAAAGGCATGACTCTCCCCAGCATTCTACAGCCCGTTTTTCTCTCTAGTTTCAAATGCTCAGCGATCATGCCTTCCTATTCCAAATGTCCTGATGCTGTACGAGGCCACACACAGACCCTCTTCTGGGCTTACAGACTTTGCAGGTGGCTTCTTCAGACTGTTGCCTCCACAAGTGCAGCTGCTCCATCTGCCCCGTGTCCTCTCTGTTCTTTCCAGCACTTCTGTCATGAGGAGCGCTGTTTAGCCACCTCCACATCTGGGTCTGTCTCTCTCACAGAGGCCTCACTTGCCACCTGTGGTACATAATGACCCTGTCATTTGGCTCCACTCCAATGGGCTCTTCTGGTCCTGTTTGTTACCTGACTCAGGAAAAGAAAAACACTCATGTAGGCAGCCTGAGGGGACCACATTCTTGCTTACTGGTGGCCTGGTAACCTCTACAGGCCATGAAGTAATCACAAGTGTTCTGTCTTCATACAGTGCCAAATGCCTTCCCCTGAGTGTAATCTTGCATTTTTACTGTTGAAGAGCTGGAGAAATTAGAGTCAGTCAGAGGAAACTAAAGCTATCTACAACTTTACCAGAGGCCAGTTCTGTTAACATGTCACTGCCTCCCTTTTGAGGTTTCTTCTGGGCAACTACATATCTAATTCTTGTGTAATCACAAGGTGTGCATAGTACTTCAAACTGCCAGTACTCTACTATTTATTTTTGATAATACTTTCCCACAGTAATTTATTTACAGTAATACTTCCTGTCTAAGCATGAGGGATGGGTACACATGTATACAAGGAAGATAAGTCACATTAAAGTTTTCAGCTTAGGAATAAAACACTCTTGGTATAGATCTTTTATTATTACTGTCTTTTCATTTTAGATTTATTTTTCTTTTGACTAATGTGTGTGTGTGTGCGCACGCGCGCGTGTGTGTGTGCACGCATGCACACATGTGCAGTATCCCAAAAGACTTGAAAAGGATATCAGATCCTCTGGAGCTGGATTGATTTAAGGCAGTTGTAAGCTACCCAAGGTCTTGGTTCTTTAGAAGAGCAGCAAGTAGTTTAACCACCGAGTAACTCCTTCAGCTCTTTAATACTTTAAAATTTTTCACTTCATCATTTCTTATTGGAGCCACAGACTTTAAGAAGTGCTCCTCTTTCTTAATGTGTTGAAACAATATAGGCAGCAATCCATGCTCATGTTGGGTTATGAGTGCAGAATTAGCTGGGTCATCATTTTGAAGTAACTTAATTGGGGAATGTGTTAATTATTACTGGGTTAAGAAGAATAGATGGTGTATGAATTACTATACCTATTGGAATTAAAACATCTAATGGAATTATGAGAACATTTACACATGAGTTTATTCCAGGAGTACTTAGAAAATCATGTATGAAGGCATTTATTTCATAACATATTTTTAAACTTGTTTATTTTTATTTTCTGTTTATGAATGTTTTGCCTGTATGTATGTATGTGTATCATGTGTGCACCTTGTACCTATATAGGTCAGCAAAAAAAGCACTGAATCCCCTGGAACTGGAATTGAATATGGTCATGGACCACCACGTGGATGTTGGGTGCTGGGGACTGAATCCAGGTCTCTGCAAGAATACCTAGTATACTTCTAACCACTGAGCCATTTCTCCAGCCCCTCATTAAGTATCTTTTAAGGATAGACATAGGAAATCAAGATCTTCTCCTAATCTCAAAAACTGTTTAATGGGAGAAGGATAAGCAGGGGATTCTCAATGTCAAACAGTATATAGGTTTCTGAGAGTTATATATAGCATAAATGCCATGATCATTTGAATTCCTATAAAGAGGCAGGCCACTCTTACTCGAAAATCAGGTAGAACTGACTGTATAGAGAACATATGGTCAGGTTTCAGAGACTAGCCCAGTACAGCTTGGCAAGGATGATTTGGACCTAGTTCCTCTCTTGTTCTTTATACAGTATTACATTTGGCTTCCTTGTTTCTATGCCTACAGACTATAAGTACAGATTAGAAGGTACAGAGGACAAATGCACAGAATGCAACAAGTAATTTCAAGTGCTTAACTGTTTGGAAGCATTTTAGGGCATGAAAACAGCACTTTATACTTCAGCAGTCACTTAGTGTTTTTCCGTATTACAGCAAGATATAAGACAGGCAATTCCAAACATGATCTTGATTTATCAAGGTTAAGTTACATTACATATGTTGTGCATGTTTTAGACAGCATTCAAAGGATTTTGGAAGGATTTCAATTGGAACATAATACTTTTTCCTTTCATCTATTCATTGAGAACATCATGCACGTATACAATATATTTTATTCCTATCACACAACACACACACACATACACCTAGAGAACTCTCTCCCAAATTCCTGCTTTCCTCCCTTTTGTCTTTTTTAAAAATCTGAGTCTAATTAGTGCTGTCCCTGTATACATGGGCAGGGCCATCAACTAGAGCATGATCCACCTACCAGGGGCCACATCTGTAAAGAAAATTGACATTTCCTTTACTAGCAGCCATCAGCTACCAGTAGCTCCTCAGCTAGAGGTAGATTTGATGTTTCCTGAGATTTGGAGGGAGGCAATGTGATCCAGATGTTTCATTTATGGCCTGTCATTTCACAGACATTTATTCTCTGCCCTTTGACCAATTGTGAATCTGTGTGTTGACTGTTGTCCCCTTCACAAAGATGCATTTCTGATGAGGGCTGAGAGCTGCACTCATCTATGGATATGGAGAGGGACATTCTTAGAAGGTAGCTTGAGACTCTGTTCACTTAGCAAAATAGTAGTAGTAGCTATCTCCTCCAGAGCGCAGGAGCTTCTTAGCCTAGGGCAAAATTTCAAGGCAATATTGTTGGTGCTTTTGGTGAGTGAACATTAACATTCCAAAAATACACGAGTCATGGCAATGAGCTTGGTCTCCAGAGTTCCATTGTGGCATGGACTTACTGAATTATCTCTTTGTGAATCTCTAGTCAATAGCTCAGACTTCCCATGTATTCTAGAGTAGAGATTAAAGCATTTCTGATTCCTGAGATGACTTTACCCCAGTGTCTTCTCTGTTTCCCGGAACATTTAATGACATTACTTGTGGATTTTGGCATTGACAACTCATTCTTCTGCCCAGCACAAGACTATTTCCCTCAGTGGCAACCAGGGCTGTAAATTTGGTTTCTCATCACTTCACCCATGATTTTCAGGCAAAACATTTGAACTTGGTGGTTTTCATATTTATGTAAAACCCCCTTCTATGTTGTTGCCATCCAGTAGCATAAACACAAGCTAGCCTTGACTCATTATAGATTTCCCATAAAGGATATTCTATCCACTGTGTGCTCAGACTAGGCCCCAGCATTGAGGCATTACTGACCTCCCAGAGAGAGAACTTATAGAATGCAGCTCCATCATGGGTCAAACAGTCAAATGCCAGGGCTGGATTTTTTTTAAAGAACCAGATAATGTCCATTTTATGACCATTAATAACATTTTCTTTATATAAACTAAGATAAAAGTAATAAAAAATGCATTCTGCTTCATAGTATAATTTGATTGTCAATAGAGTTCAGAAATGAACTTTCTCATTGTGCGTGCGATATTGCATGGTGGAAGGGTTAGCATCCAGCAGCCCTCTCACAACCTTCCTTTTCTTTTATAGAGACCCTTTAGTTTAGCCAGAGCCAGGGAGGCAGATCCTTTGCTCTCCCCTTTAAAGTGCTTTGATTGTGCCTCTGGTAGTTAATGTGCCAAATGGTCTTCAGGGTGTTTCCTACACGTGTTCTGCAGCTAATTAGAATGCCTAGGCCTACTGTTTTCCTACCTCTGTACTCTCCATATGTTTAATAGCTCAGTTCAAACATCAGGCCCATGGAGAGACATGGCAAAGCTCTGCTCTGATTTGGGCATCTGTTGCAAGCAGGTTTTCCAAAGGATATCCTGTAGGAGATAAACCATTTCATTAGACCAGGTTCCCTTTCCAAACCAGGAAACCCAGGGCCCCTGTGAAGGAAACCCCAGATACTGCTGTTGTGGCGGTACATAGAGCACTTGTAAATGTTGTCAGCATCTTTCCTACAGGTTCCATCCAGACTGTGTTCATTGACAGGTTAATGATGTGTTTTAAGGCTCTGTTTATGGAGAGCCGATAGGGCAGCTGGGACAGGAGTACTTTACATATTGCAATGACCATTCCCCTTCCATGTCTCCTGCAGTTGATAACTCCCCATGCCATCCGTGTGCAGACACCTCCTCGGCACATTCCTGGTGTTGTGGAAGTCACATTGTCCTACAAGTCCAAGCAATTCTGCAAAGGGACTCCAGGCAGATTCATCTATACAGGTAAGCATGACTACAGATAGTCATCACAGAGCCGGCTTGGCCTCATGAGGTATTTATTTGGTCATGTATGTGTATTTTTTTAAAAACTTGTTTCTGTTAAGACAGATTTTCTCCATTTCAACAGATGTAGGTCTAATGATATTGCTCTGATTGTTATTACTAAAAGCTTATGTGGGTGTAATGGTTTTGAATGATGAAAAAAATTGGTTAGCTACTTAAGAGAAATAATATGAGAAGTAAGAGAGAGCAGGCAGTTCTATACAGGACCAAGGTCTTCCTAATAGCTTGATGGTTTAGTGGAGTTTGCTGTATGGAACAGGGTTGAGCTTTAATGAACAGTACTCCTTTCTTCTAGCCTGTTGCAACATTTGAATTAAATACATTTGGTAGTTCTCATAATTTACTCTGGGTTGGTGCTTTCTTACCCAGTAAGCTGCACCCCTCCCCCCACAGCCTTGGCTCATGGCCCTGCCTTGTGGTAAGCAGCTAGGGTTACAGGGTGCATCTGAAATCCCTCCCACCAGGCACAGCCAATCAGGCAGGATTCGGACTGGCAGGATGTGGAAATACATGTAATAGGTAAAGCAAACACTGGGGATCTCTTACCGTTTAGAATCTGCTGTGGGAGGGGTCCTGGAGAGACCATGAGACTTTTTGTTTCTTACATGGTAAAAGGTGAGGCCTAGATCGTTGTCAAGGACCACACATGGCGAGGTAAATTCTAGGTCACTTTGCTCCTCATCACCTGACCAGCTCCATCCATGATCTAGTCACAGCTTTTGTTCTCTGTACACTAGACCTACCCATGTAGATGGGAAGTTGTTTTCACACAAAGGGGTCTGGAGCACAGAACGGGCTGTTGGTACATCCTAATTAAACCTTGTAATTCAATGAGCAGATTCCTTTTGTGCTGAGATATTCTACCTCAGAGTGTCTTCCCCTATAATTATATACAATGAACCAAACCAAGCTTGCTTCATAGTTACCCAGTCTCTATCTCTCTCACAATGACAAAAACCAACCAAACAAACAAACAAGCTAGTTAATATATCTTGACCCTCAGAAATGCCTCCCAGCCCTTTAAACAAAATGCAGGATTGGTGCCTGCCTGCCGATTAGTTTTAGTTAATTGAAAATTATAGGATTGACCCAAGAGGAAAATTTTGTTTGCCCTCCAATCACTTTTACAAATTAAGGAAAATTACCACAATTTTGTTTAGCTCAGGTTTCACACTGAGTTCACGAAATTAGCTCAGCCATCCCAACAAAGTCAGCACTTTGTTAGTGAGCGCTTGAAAAAAAAGTCTATCTGGAGTTTTGTGGTGTATACAAACGAAGCATAGAGAAAGCTGTGATGCTTTATAGAAGTGGGCCAAGTGTTTTTAATCAGGCTCATTGGTTCAGCATAGGTTTTGAAGAACAATCAAAATAGCAGATTAGCTGTGTCTCTTAAATTTAGGATTTCTTGCCATTCATTTTTCCCGTGAGAACTTCTACATAACACTGTAATTTTCTTTTTATTTTTCATCCATTCTTTCATTCATTCTTCCTTCCTTTTCCTTTCTCTTTCTTTCTTTCTTTCTTTCTTTCTTTCTTTCTTTCTTTCTTTCTTCCTTCCTTTCTTTCTTTCTTTCAACAAACCTCATTATGGGCTTGCAGGAAAAAAAAGACCAATTGAAATTTCTGATACTGTAACATTCTTCACCATCATTCCAAGGGATGGGAGTTTTTCACAATGTTCCTTGCTGGACTTGCTGTTCTGGAACATATTACAAAACCACAGAGGCCAAATGTTTTCTCTAAGGAGTTTGGATTCTGTTTTTGGCTGAAAACATTTAGGCTTTGCTGGTTGCTTATTTACTCTGCTATTAAGAACAAGAAAGAAGGAAAGAAAGAAAGGAAGAACAAAAGAAAGAAAGAAAGAAAGAAAGAAAGAAAGAAAGAAAGAAAGAAAGAAGAAAACACTTCTTGTGGGGTGGGAGGCACCAGAAGCAGTCAGCCATGGTTTCCGCTTTGGTGACAATGGCCTTGCTCATTAATGGTGCCATTTTGTGGTCAGGTCTCATTTAGAAGAAATTATTTTTAATCATTGTTCAACAAAATATACCCTAGAGCCACCTGGTCATAAATTTTTTTCAAATCACCACCATTACAGTACTTAAATTCTCAAACAAAACAAAACACTGCCCCACACAGAAACAAAACAAACAAACAAAAAACCTTAGGGGCTAACTAGACTACCATTATTTAAGTTTTTTATAAAACCATTTAAAAATTGCTATCAATTTAAGAAATCACATCTTGGGAAATCTGTATCACGATGGAATTAAGATCAAAGATACAAACAGCAGATTTGCAAGCTGAGGGAAGTAATTAGGGAGGAAAGTGTGCTGAAATGTTCACGTGTGGAAATTTAAAGAAGAAACAGATGTGTTCATGCCTTCAACTGTGGGCAAGTGACAAGACATGTATTCTAGGAGGGAATCTACCCTCTTATTGTGTTAGAAAAATAAAAATAGAAAGAAATCAGGACAAAGACTCCTTGGCTATTAATAGTTACAGTGACATCACGTGACTTTCACTAGGGAGCTTCTGGACCTCATGATCACTGGCATGTGGCTTATCCTTGTGGAGGGTCCTTAGTGATGGCTGGGTTCCCAGCTCCTGCACTTGACTCCGTTTACCTCGGTGTTTGTCACTGCTTACCAGTGAAGGTATAGAAAAGGGTCTCAATGACTGTCTGTTCTTTGCATCCAGACAACTGCTCAGGTCGCTGTGGTGTGTGTGTGTGTGTGTGTGTGCATGCATGCAAGCCCCTCAGCCGTCCACTCCCAGAAGTTCACTTCACACTTCCTTTTCTTTAACATCCACACAACTTCAAGATGTGAGGCTTGGCTTTCTGGATTGGTAAACTAATCTTAATTCTTAATGGAATGTCACTGGAACTTTTCCCCTTAAAAAGAAAAAAAGGAAATATCGTAGAACTGAAAAATAACACCCCAATTAAGGTGCTCCCACTGTTTCCAAAGTGCTGAAGTGAGTTTGGATAGAGGAATGTGGAAGGTGGTAAAATTCTACTTTAAGAAAAGCCAGAAAATAAAAGCAGACAGGGACACCCTGGTCTAGTCGATGCAAATAAGGGCAGCCTTTTGGAGGAAGTTGTCTGACTAAACACAGATTGGCTGAAGGCTGGCCCCATTTGTAAGGATGCTGGGCGCAACTCTCCATTGCTGACCTTCAGGCTTGAGCGTTCTTGTTCACTAGATATATGATGTTCTTTTATTTGCCTAATCAGAGTCATGGAAAAGAGTTGAGTCGTGACTTAAATAGAACACACAAGCCCAATAGCACTGGCCTGATCAAACAGACTTTATTGTGTCTCATTATCCTTTTGCAAATGTGGGGTCAGGGCTGACCTTACATGCTAAGTGTTTATAAATGAAAGAAACTAAAACTCATCTAGTCACAGGATTATTCTGAGTCCCATGACCCTGAATCTGGGTGGTGAGTTCAGGTAAACCAGATAAACATCACAGGATTCCTCACCAAACCTCACTGGCCATGTAGGGTCTCTCTAATATCTTCATGATTCATATCCCTTGCTTTCTTATAGCCGTCCAGTCTTTAAATGAGTTGTTTCTTTAGGAACACAACTGTCCCTACTAAGCCTTCAGTGAACTTGGATGCCAAGGAAAGTTCCCTAGTAGCTGAAAGTTCTGAGAATTTTCTAGTAATAAGTGGCCACATCTAAAGTTAGCACTTTTTACTTTCATTCTAAGTAACTTCTTCATGGGAAAGGCCTCTGTGTCCAGGGGAAATCATAAAAAGTAAATAACAAAAGGACCACAGGATGATGCTTGGCCAACTCAGGGCTGTACTCACAATCATACCCCTCCCCAACAAGCTGCTGAGAGTCATGGGTGGTGAGCAACTGACAGACCTGCTGGTTATCTGTTTAGGCTACCTATCAGAACCTTTTTTACCATTTACTTTCCCATCTTAACCATTATCACCCAACTTGCAGCCACTGTGGAAGGGCCAGTCCAGACAGTGTATTAGTTTAGGAATGAAACTTCTTCCTGAACTACTTCCTCTTTTTATTTCTCCTTCCTGGGTGATGCAGAATACATCTCTCTGCCTGCAGAATGGGCCAGATGGGCAAATGTGTTCTGTGGTTCTTGATGATTCTAAGTTTCCATTTTTTTCCCCTCCCGATCATATTTGTTTTAACCCTCCTCTCTCTCTTCCCCAGATTTTCTCTTTCCTCTTTCCTCTCCATCAGTTCCTTTTTCATTGCCAGTAATATGGTGCAACACAGGGATGGGGTACCTCCATTTAAGGTAATGGATGTAGATTGAACTCTCAGGTCTGCCATTTACTGGAGCAGCTATTCCTGAGACCTCCACATTATGACTAAGCCACAATCACCTTATCTTTACAAGAAGAGAATGATAACTGCTAGGGTTGTTTTTTTAGAATCAGAGCCATGCATAGACCTAGAAGAAGGCGAGACTCAGCGCTGGCATTAATAAATTGTGGTCATTATCTTCAGTCATTCATGCTTTTTAAAAATTGTTATTTTCTGTATCTGAAGTTTTTGCCTGTATGTGTATAGGTGTATCATAGGTGTGTCCAGGGTCAATTGAGTCCAGGCAAGGGCATTAGATCTTCTAGGAACTGCAGTGACAAACAGTTGCAAGCAGCCATATGGATACTGGGAGCTGAACCTGGGTCCTCTGCAAGATTCAAAAATCTCTGAATTGCTGAGCCATCACTGAAGCCCCATCCATCCATTTTTGAGTCTGTTTTTGAAGCAGATATTTCACATCCTGTTTCACATCCTCCTCCTCTTCCTATACGTCTAAGATATTCCCTTAAGGGTTTTTAGTAAGAGTATCATGGACACCAGTACACGGAAGCATCAACAAATAGCAAGGGCAATGTATGAGTAATTATGGTAACAAGAAACAGATATTTATAAGTAATTATTCCATTGTCTG